TTGATAACTTGCAACACATGTTGTAGATCATATTGAAGCCAGCGTTGCCAACTTTTCAACAGCAAGATGTAAGCTTGTCTTAGATGGGAACAGAGGGTTGTTCATAATACATCCCAAATTATAATATATATATTGAATTATTAATGAATACATCCCAAACATCAACCTTGTCAATCTCATGGTTTACTTTGCTCTACAAATGGTTGCTGCAAACTTTTATCGCTATTCATATTCTTGAGAAGCAACATTTGCCATATTGTCTGTTTATGTAAATAAAGCAAAATATAATGACGTATACAGAATTTTTGAATTTTGAAGTCCACTTACATTACACTATAATCATCTTTAATTCCGCCAATTGGGTGGAGGTACAAATCAACATATAGATCTACAAAATAAAAAATAAATGTTCATAACTGACATATACCCTATCAGAGTCCGCTACCTCTTGAACGTCCAACTCTGCATCTACACTTGAAATAAAGAAAAATAATTTAGAAGCCACAAAATTCTGACATTCTCTTAAAGAGGCCTTTGACTGCCCTCTCCCATTAACCGAATATATCCCCATATTGAGAAGGTTCTTGCCTTATCCAAATAAAGTATTAAATAGTCAGTTGGTTGTGACTGCAACGTTTTTATTTAGTACGCCTTATGCGTTTGACATCGTTTAACTTGTGGCATGATTTCTATGGCTTGCCATATACCCCACCCCCATCCCATCCTCACTGCTACCAGTGCTGCATTTGGCAAGCAACCTATTTTTATTTTACTTTGCTTAAGAATAGACGAGGCAAAAAAAAAAAAAAAAAAAATATAATAATAACAGCAGTAGAATTACATTTGCAATGCTGGATCAGCAACAAGGGGGGGAGGGGGCTAGGAAAACGCGTGCGTACATAGACACACGAGCAATATATGCGTTTTGTTTTTGTGCTGTCGTTTGCCGGCCAATTTAGGTCAAAATAGCAACAACTACAAAGCAACTGCTGTCAGAAACAAGTTTGCGTGTATATGTATGTACAGTAATGTACAGATACGTATATGTGTGTGTACATACATATGTTGACAAAGCCACATTCTATGACTGGCTGGCTGGTCGTCAATTGGTTGGGTTGTGGGAAGGGGGGGGAGGGGTGTTGTAGTTTTGAATAGTGTGGGCAATAGATAAGCGGTGCGAAAAAGAACAAAAACGAAAACAGAGAGCAAGAGAGAGAATGATGCAGAAAAATTACTGCAACAGCAAAAACTAACGGTTGCTTACATCGTCGTCGACGCTGAGGCGGCAGCACCGCAAAATGAGCAATTGCGGCGCGAAAGCAACATGTGGAATGCTTTGGTAATGGAACGGGCAAAGCCAATACATGCACGCAAGTATGCGTCATAAAGTGCGGCGCTCTATGCATATGTACATATGACTATGTATGTTCGTATATAAGACTTAATCATTCATATTTAAAAACAAAAAAAAAACTGCAGCCACTACAAATACAAATACAAATACAAAGAGATATACACAAATACAGCTACAGCAACAGCACAGAAACAGCAGCAGGTGGCGATGCAGCAGATTTCTGACTTTTTCATTCATAAAAATCATCAAAAAGTAAAAAAGAAAACAAAAAGCAAATGAAACGTGCACACACACACAGGCACACATGTGTTGTATGTACATATATAACATGTACGCACCTTGTTAAAAGAAACAAAAAGGTGAATGATGCAACACGTGCGTGTATGTGTGCGTGTATATATATGTATTGGTGTAAATGCAGCAAGCAACGCCTTCGCGTGTTGATAAATTGAATACACATGCTGCATGCATACAAAAATATATGCACATACACATGCATACATAATATGCACACAGCCTTTTACATATGTATGTGAATATTTAATGCCAAAATAAACAAGCAGCACAGCAAGCAGAGCAGAGTAAACGTTGACGTCAACTGCGCTGCCAACGTACATATATTCATATACATGTATGTATGTATATGCATCATGTGTATATTGATTGCGAGGCGCAAAAGGGCCGCGTGCATTGATAACAAAAACAAACGCGCGCGCGCTCAGGTGGCTGTGTGTGCGTGTCTGCCTGCGCGTGTGTCTGTGTGTGTCTGTGCTTATGTGAGAGTGCCAAACAGAGGTCATTGCTTAGTTGAGGCGCCAGCGACAGAGTCTGTCACATGTCAAATACAAAAAAGAAAATAAATATAAAGAGTCGAAGTCGCAATCTACCGACTGCCCAATACTCTATATATGACAATAAACTTTCTGGGCGTCATCATCATGGTAAAACAAATACCAACTGTGCGGTTAATTGCGCTAAAACTGTGACCCTTACGGTAATCAACTGTCAAACTGTCCAATTTGATGACACTAAACGCTAGAGTAAAAAAAAACAGACGAATTATCACATACCACAAAACCAATTAACTCTACTCGTTTGAAACACAGTGTATATTTTACACACATACAAACATAAGTATTTTCTCTCACGCAGAGACTGTTATAAAGAGAGGCAGCAAGAGTGATAGAGAGTGGGAGAGGGAGAGCGCGCGACAGAGTAGGTGCAGTCAAAGTCCTATTGGTGCTGTGCACGAGGCGACGTCAACGAACTGCAGCAATGACATTTACATATTTGAAGCTGTGGCCATGGACGCGGTGGGCGCAGTGTGGCCATGCTCACACCCCTAAATCCCCTCTCCCCCTCTCCCATAAATATCAGAATCTGCACATGTTGTGACATGTGACGCATGCGCAATGCTGTTCAAACTGTGCGCAACAGTTACACAGTTAAAGAGGCAGCGCTGTCAAAAATGCAAGACAAGCCAAACACACAAAGCACAAGAAAAAAGGAAATAAGAAGAAAAAAGCGGCGGCGGCAGCAAATTGTTCGTTGTCGTTTCGACTTCAATTCCTGGAAAAATAAGCAGCAAAAAAAACAAACACATATATGTGCATACAAACATATATGCATGCATATGTAAAAGGCGCAGACACAAACAAATATGGCATGAAGTGCTATAAAAGCAATAGCAATAGAAAGAGCAACAGCGAACATCAAACTAAAAGAGAGCACACACAGAGACGGATGAGAGACAAACATAAGTGGCAATGGAATGTGTCTGCTGCTGTTGCCGCTGCTGCTGCTGCTGAAGAAGGCGGCCGGTATGTGAAACTGTTGTTGTTGTTGTCGCTTTTGCAGTTTGACAAACTCAATTCGACAACGCGCACACATTCATACGCATACGCTGCTTCGCCTCGTACATGCGAATTCGCTTATGCGCTCGCTCTGCAGCACTGCCTCTCTCTCTTTTGGAGATCGGAAGCCGCGCGCTTTCATTCATAAAGTAGAGTTGCCACACGCTGCGATTTTCGCTGGAATTGCTTAAAGCCTGTTAATTAAAAACGAAAATAAAATAAAAGTAGGGAGTTCCTTTTTTTATATGAATGTAATTACATACATACATATGTGTTTATCAATGCATTTTTTTAAATCAAAATCAAAATCGTCTACAAATTGTATTTACCCAGCTGAAAAAAGCTACAAATTTATATTTTAATTATTAAAAAGTATTTTATTATATGGTTGCACAAAAATTTGTATTTTGCTGGCTCCTGGAATCGTCCATATTGTTGTATGTACATATATACATATATACGTGCCTACATACATACATACATACATACTACGGCATGCCTTGCTCTCTTATTTTTTGTTTTTATTATTTGCTCTTGTTTTTGGGTCTTTGTGGCGACGGCGGCTTCGGCTTCGGCTGGAGTGAAATTACTTCCAAGAAAAATAAACACGATATTAAATGTGCAACATTCCAGTCGACGGTGGCGGCCGTCAGCGGCGGCAGCAGCAGCAGCAACCGATCGAGATTTTTGCAGTGTTGCTGATCTTGTTGCTGACCGTGTTGTTGTTGTTGTTGTTGTTGTTGTTGTTGTTGTTGTTGTTGTTGTTGTTGTTGTTGTTGTTGCTGTTTGTCTCGAAGCGCCAAAAAGCAATGAACAGCAACTTTTTGTTGCTGCCGTTGTCGTTGTTGTTGTTGTAGTTTGTAGTTTGCTTAAGATGTCTGCAGTTGGTGCCGTTATAGCAACAGGATGTTATCACCCTCTCCTTCCCTCCCTCTCTCTTCTATTTGTCTGGCTGTCTGTCTGGCATGTGCATACATATACACATGTACATATACTTACAGACATTATAAATATTCATAAGTGCATATGTAAACAGTTAGAGTTCTCTCTGTCTAACAGTTATGCCTATAAAATATATATTAATTGTATATGATAGAAAATAAAGGCCCTAATCAACGAAATTTGTCCCAAGATATTCGTTAGAGTATTAAAGTTGTCACGTGAACGCGTTCGCTCTTCTGCACAACACTCGCATCTTTATTGCTTTAGCTCTCCTGCTCTCTCACTCTCTCCCCCCCTCTCTCTCTCTCTCGCTCTCTCGCTCGTTCTTACTCTCTTTTGTCCAACTCCTGCGGTTGCACACATTCTCTCATCTGAAGCTTGTTGCATTTTCATCGCCACACACCGACAGCACACAGCCCCTACCCATGCCCCGTAATGTAAAAAAAAAAAACAGAATGTAATTATTAAAAAAATAAATAAAATACAAAATAAATGCAAATAAGAATCCACGCAGTCCTTTTTCCACGCTCGCTATCTCGCTCTCTCGCTCTCTAGATGTTAGTTGCGCTGCTGAGTCTTTTTACTGACATTCTGCTCTCTTTTTTTCCTTTCTATTTCTTTATTTTTTTTTCTTTCTTATTTTTTGTTATCTCGTTAACTTATTGAAAAAAAAAAAAAATTTTACCATTTTCGTATTACTTTTTTTATTTGTTTTTTCTGTTTCGCCTCTTTTTTTTATTTCTTACTTTTTAATGTTTTGTTTTTGTTTTCCTTTTCGTACGTGTTTTTTTTCTATTTTTGTTGTTTTCTATTTTTGTTTTGTGTGTGTTTTTACGCTATTTTCTTCACAGTGTTACGACATCAAAAATCTTAATAAGCGGCATACCGCTGCAGACACGTTTCGAAGACATCGAACCGCTACTGAAGCCCTATGGCATCGTCAAACAATGTGAGGCTATTTCTAGTAAGGATCAAAATACTCAAACAGTACATATAACATTCGAAAATCCTGAGCAGGCGCAAAGGTATATACATTAAATCCAACCAAAACCAATCTATGAACAAATCTGCTAAAAAGATAATAAAAAAATTTACCTAACACAAGATTTCACTTGATTCGAAAAATTCCCCTTCGTGGTTCTAAAAGCTGTGTGAATCTCGTGTTAAGTACAAATTTGATGCATCTAATATATATATATATACATTTATATATATACATATACATATATATATCATATTACAAATCATGTGTACGTATATAATAGATGGAAAACTATCGATAGCATAAATATCGATACCATTTATTTAAGGGTATTCACACGCAGAACATACGCATTAGGGTGCACCATGAAACCATCGACAGTTATCGATACTATCGCTGGGTTTTTAAAAGCTATTTTCCAGCATAACTACCGAAATTCTAGCCTTTAATATATGTATGTATATGTATGTATATGTATGTATATGTATATGTATATGTATATGTGTGCATGTATATGTATGTACGTATGTATGCATATGTATGTATATCGATTACCGATTTTTTTTTTTTAGATAAGTAATTAGCAGTTTGACATTTTGAGTGCATCGCATCTGTGGCTGTCTTTGGGGGCGTGCCGGAGTGGGCGGTACTTGGCTGTGACTGTGGGCGGGGCTTGTGTGTTGTGCTGCTTACTTAGGGCGTGTTTTTAGTAGCTATCTTTTGCCTATTGCATTTATGTATGTCTGAGCTGATCTGATCCGATCTGATCCGATCTGATCTGGTCCTCCAAAATCGTTTACTAAATACACATATCGTAAATGTTATATCTATACACAACACTATGCATACATATGTATATCATCATAAACTATATTCTTTGTAGAATTATATTTCTCATACTGATCTCTCTTTTTTTCTCCGTTTGTTTATCTTCGCGCTCGCGCTCTCTTTTCTCTCTTTGTACCTTAACTTCTACCCATAGAGCTGCTGGTGGCCTAAACGGCGTCGAGTTCGAGGGCAGTAAACTGCACGCAGAGCAATTGGACAAAAATCAACGTCGGAGCATACGCAATCAGCGCAATCCTTATCCCGGCATGCCGGGTCCTGGACGCCAGGCGGACTTTCCGCTGCGTATTTTGGTACAGAGCGAAATGGTGGGCGCGATCATTGGACGACAGGGTAGTACCATACGGACCATAACACAACAGAGTCGCGCCCGTGTCGATGTGCATCGCAAGGAGAATGTTGGCTCCCTCGAAAAGTCCATTACCATCTATGGCAATCCGGAGAATTGTACCAATGCATGCAAGCGCATTTTGGAGGTTATGCAACAGGAGGCACTGTCCACAAATAAGGGGTAAGTAGTGTCGACATCAGTTCATTTATCCATTTCAGTTGAAATTAACATTCCGCCCCCCCCTTCAACTCTGTCGATTCTAGTGAAATCTGCCTGAAGATACTCGCCCATAATAATTTAATTGGTCGCATTATTGGCAAGAGCGGTAACACTATTAAACGCATTATGCAGGATACGGACACGAAGATAACCGTTAGCTCAATTAATGACATTAATAGCTTCAATTTGGAGCGGATCATAACGGTGAAGGGCTTGATTGAGAATATGTCACGTGCGGAAAACCAAATCAGTACCAAGCTGCGCCAAAGCTATGAGAACGATCTGCAGGCAATGGCGCCTCAGAGCCTTATGTTCCCCGGTCTGCATCCCATGGCAATGATGTCGACACCGGGCAACGGCATGGTCTTCAACACGAGCATGCCGTTCCCCTCGTGTCAAAGCTTTGCCATGTCCAAGACACCGGCCAGCGTGGTGCCACCGGCCTTCCCCAACGATATGCAGGAGACGACATACCTGTATATACCGAATAATGCCGTTGGGGCAATCATTGGCACCAAGGGATCGCACATACGCAGCATAATGCGCTTCTCAAGCGCATCCCTCAAAATTGCGCCCCTCGACGCCGACAAGCCGCTGGACCAACAAACGGAGCGCAAGGTCACGATTGTTGGCACACCGGAGGGTCAGTGGAAGGCGCAGTACATGATATTTGAAAAGATGCGCGAGGAGGGCTTCATGTGCGGCACCGATGATGTCCGCCTTACCGTTGAGCTACTCGTCGCCAGTTCTCAGGTATGTATATAAATACAGGTGTCTATAGATATATACAACTTTTGATTGATCAACGCCGCACAATTCCATTCACACGGGTGAAAAATGGGTGACAAGTGCCCGTTAGTACGCTCAACAGCTCCATTTTGGTACGATCGCCTTTCATATGCGTTTAAGAACTTGTTAAAAAAAAAGTTGAATTTTAAAACAATTTTCGTCTAATCGAGGCGGAAAATGAGTGGAACTGAAAGATAAAAGAATCAAATAATCAAATAGGAATTAATTAATAAGGGTGCAGTCTGATTTTGGGCGTAATCGGTTCGAACTCGCTGAACCAAATATAACAACTTTTGAGGCTGTCCTAGATAATATAAATATTTATATTTATTTTGTTTAATGCAAATTTCAAAGATTAGGACTGTCATATTAACGTGTTAAGGCCAAGGTTTAAACCAAAACTTGTGTTCAAGGATGTGGAAAAACATTTTCATGAACTGAACCAGGTGCTTGGTTATATGAATATATTTATGTTATGTTTTTTTTTTTTTTTTTTACTGTACTGTACTGTTATTAAAAGAAATTGTATTTCGCAGGTCGGACGCATCATTGGCAAGGGCGGACAGAACGTGCGTGAGCTGCAACGTGTGACGGGTAGCGTCATTAAGCTGCCAGAGCATGCGCTGGCGCCACCTTCAGGCGGCGATGAGGAAACTCCTGTGCACATCATTGGGCCATTCTACAGCGTTCAGGTATGTGGCCCGGCGAACTGTTATAAACTGTCATATTGTTTGTAAACTAATGTTAACTATTTGCTTTTTAACTCTTTTTTGTAGTCCGCACAGCGGCGAATTCGCGCCATGATGCTATCGACAAATCCGCCACCAGTGACCAAAAAACAGAAAGCTGCCAAAGAACAACAATTGCAACAACAACAACAACAACAACAGCAACAACAACAACAGAACCTAGCCGGCGCTGCGCCAAGTGGGACTCAACAACAGCAGCAACAGTCGCCGTCGCAGCAGCAGCAGCCGCTGCCGCCGCAATCGCATCATCAATCGTCGGCGGCGTCGTCGTCGGCGCCACCTGCGCATCACCAGCAGCAGGCGTCGTCGACAGCGTCCTCACATCAATTGCAGCAGCAGCAGCCGTCGCCGCCGCCCGGCAACGCATCGGCCGCCACCCAACAGCAGCAACAGCAGCAGCAGCAGCAGCTGGCGAGCTCCCAGCAGTAAGCTGCATGCGTGGGGATAGGGTATGGCCAGAGGGGGGGGCAACCCAAATACAACAGCAAACAACTTGAATAACAACAACAATAATACATTAATAGCAATAGCAACAACAGCAACTACAACAAAAACAACACTTGGATTTACCGTGGCAGTTTTCCATCAACTTTTATTCCGCTTTATATAAACAGGCAGCGAAAACAACAACAACAACAGCAACAAGAAAAAGAAGAAGAACTCTCGTCCCTCAACTCCAACAAACTCGTAAAAAGCGCTAAATGCCTGCCCCTCGACTGCTGGCAAGGGCAGCAGCACAGCAAACTAAAAATGAATTCAAAAATATAACAGAATATAACAGCAACAACAGCAACAGCAACCGCAACAGCGACCGCAACAACAACAGTAACATTAACGACAGCAACAACAGCAGCAGCAGCAGTAAAAGCAACAGGCAACAGGCAACAACAAGGCAGATGCGGCTGAGAACTTGCTCTTTCCCTCTCTTGCAGTTAGTTGCAGACGCCCAAAGGGGAGAGCTACCAGATTTTGTGTACAACTATCAAATGCTTGCTTATAAAAAAATCAAAAAAAATCATAATCATAATAATAAAACTCGGCGCCGTTCCAATAAATGGGCCAAACTGTTATACGGCAATGCATTGTATTGTTGTTGTTTCTCGTGATGTGACTGCGCGCTGCCCAACCTTTGTTATAATTTTAATTTAACTAAATAACTACACACACACACACACACACCACACAGACACACACTCTATTATTTAAAGAAATCTTGCATAAAGCCTGATGTAAGGGAGAAGCTACATTTAACCAGGTTTAACCACAGAACTGCAACAGCCCCCGCAGCAAAAAATTATTAAACATATTTGCAACATGAAAAGAAATTTCACAATTAAAAACAAAAACAAATTGAAAAAAAAAAAAACAAAAACAAAAGCGAGAAAAAAATTAACAAAAAAAAAAACAAATTCAAAAAGTCGCAACTGCAGCAAATTCGTTTTTTTTTAATATATAGAAAACATAAAATTACAACTTTTTAATGAATTATTTTATTTTTTTTTTAATCAACTTTAGTAAGCGTAATTTAAGTGAACAAAAGAAAAAAAAAACAAACAAAAAACGAAAGTGAGATAAACAAAAACCAAACAATCAATTGGTTTGTGTGTGTGTTTTATAATTGTTTTATATATATATATATATATATTTATTATATATGTATATATACATTTTTTTTTATTTTAATTTTTTAAGCGTATTTGCATTTGAAAATTTGAAATTTGTAACAGTTATTAATTGTATGCAAGAACACAAATCAGATGACGACAGCGGCATAAAAAACAGAACAGGAAAAAACTGTATGTTAATTATTATTATTACTAATATTATTTTTCGTATTTCCTAATTGAAGAATACCCAAATTGCAAGCAGGTGTAAACTTTAGCCCACCTCTTAAAGCAAAACGAAAACAAGAAAAAAAAACTCAACAAAAAAAAAAGAGTAGAAGAAAACTACAACTAAACTTTAAAGCCGCTTTAAACTAAACCAAAACAAAACAAGTGAAAACCAACTAAAAACTAAAACATGTAAAATAAAAGAAAAACTAAAGAATTCTTTGAAGCGAGAAGCGTAAATACCACAAAAATACAACACACAAGTGTTCAATGCGAGGGTCGATAGAAGAGTTTTCCATAGGAGCATATATGTCTACATACAATATATATGTATATAACTTATCGTATATATGTATTCTGTCTGTACTCTTATATTTATCAGCCAGCAGACAGCGCAACCATCTCTTATACGCGCCAAGTCGAGAGTCAGAGTTGAGTCGCGCAGCACATGTATGACAACTATATAGTATAACATAACGGAAACATATAACAGTACACACACACACTCACACACAAACAAACACACACACTCACTCACAAACATAATTATATAGGCATACGAATTATATAGTTTATCATTTAAGTTGTGTCTCTCACCTGATGCCAAGCAAGCAATGTTAGTGTACAGCTGTATAATAGTTTTCGAGAATTGAGAATTTGAGATTTCGAGAATGCGTATATAACAACAAAAAATAAAACTGAATTGTTAATATTGTTTGAGCGAACTAAGCTAGAGAGGGAGAGAGAGAGAGAGAGAGGGAGAGGAGAAGAAGTAGAGTCGGAGCGAGAGCGCGAGCGCGCCAGAGTTATTTAGAGAGAAAGTGAGAGAGCATTGTAATCTGTTTGCCTTGAAACAAAAACAAAAATAACGGTGCTGAAATGTTAATTTTTATATAACGAAAAAAAACGAGCAACAAGTGTTACATAAAGTGTTATATTAAAGCAAAAAAAAAAAAAAAAGTTGAAATGAAAGGAAATTGGAACAAAACAAGCTGTTATATAAATCACAACACACACACATACACACACACACACACATAAACACACACGACCTATACTATATTACACATAGCTTTCAATATGCGGCCCCTTTCAGGCCTATCCCTGCGGATCATCTGATATATTTTCATGATCAACATGAGATCGGCCGAAAAGCGGGCCCATGGTTATATAGATTTTTCATAGTTTAAATGTTGTTTCGTACATATTCAAATGTACATGTAACAAACTTGTCATTCTTTTAAAAATACTTTATTTAAATTACATAAAATAAAAGAGAAAACACATCAAACACATACATGCATAAGATCTATTATAGATCATAAACTATATATATATATATTTATAGTGTATAACAGATTTTTTTTTCCATAGCTGCTAAAATCGTAACTGAAGTAACTGAATCGGAGCAACAAACAATCAAACATACCCAAGAACCAAGACAATAGCCCAATTTTGTTGAAATAGACATAAATAGAATATAACGTGACGATTTATTATAACATTTATTTTTTTATTCTTTACATACTTTTTTGTTTTGTTAAGATTACATACATACTACATACATTACATACAAGCATACATAAATACATAACATGGATACATATTTACACACACACATATATATATATATATATATATTTATATATACTAATACATAATTTCCTCTTTTCATTGTTTTCTTACTGCATTAAGTTAGTTATATATACATAAATATATATATGTACATATGTACAAATATACATATGTATATGTGAAATATATAGATTACAATAGAAAGTTAACAGCTCGGGTTTTGCGTTAATTTTGCCTATATAACACTTGCATTTTCAACTGTTATATTCGTGCATTTAAAAAGGAAATAGAACAACAAAAATCAACATTTCGGCCAGAACACTAAAAAAAAAAAAGAAGAAAAAGAAAATTCAAAATTTTTGTTTCGCGTGAACAAGAAAAACGAAAGAAACTCAAATCAAATTCGAAAATTGACTAACATAAACATTGATCAACAGCAAAGAAGAGCATATACAAGCATTTTAGGGCAGTTTTAGGACAGTTTAGGACAGATATTTTTTCGGCATACACATAATATTAACAACAGGAAAGAAACATGCGAAAAGATCTATTGATGAAGATTGAAAAAGTAATTAAAATACCTCAATGTAAGTGCATTATCTTATATGGAAAAACAAAAAACTAAAAAATAAAAAAAAAAAATACAAAAAAAAAACAAAAACAAATTATAAATGTAAAAGAAATCAAATGTTAAAATAAAACTTATAGCTAAGCAAAAGAGCAACCTAACGAATATGTAAAGTGTGAGCTAAGCAAAAGCAGAAAAGAAAAACTGAAAACAAAATATTGAAAGAAAATAATCATAAAATCTAATTTATGATAGTTTTTAAGCGATGCGGAAACCTGAAGAGTTCATGCAACATTTAACTCAAAAGCAACAACAACTACAAAAACAACTACAACAACAAAATCAACAACAACTACAACTGAGAGGCATATCAAAGAAGAAAGCAAAGTTAAAAGAGGGAGAGCGGCGGGAGTACAGTTTAGACCAAAGCATAGTCGATTTCGCAATTTACCAACACTGT